GCCGTCACCGCTGGTTTTGCACCTTTATGTGCACATAAGCATACATACATACATTCTTATTTTAATGTCAGAGATGGATAACCAAACAATTATATACTTCATACTAGTGCATATGTTTGGGGGATATATACAGCATTGGGAAAAACATCAATCCTGAATCGTTAGCTTGAATTAAGTTTTTAAATGTTACACTTTCTTGAGGATTTTCGTCGTATGAAAGCTGAAAGCTTGGCAACGTATTCAGTAGCACGAAGGGGATTGCCTTAAGGAAAGCATCAATCAGAATGTTCCTGTAAAAGTTAAATGACAGCTAGAAAGAGGAATTTATTGTCGCCTGTTAATGGGATCTTCTGTTCAATATCTTGATCACATATTTTTACTCTAAAGTTGAGTAAGTTCAATAAAGTGTTTAGTAAACACAATTATTCGTCAAAAGCGATTGATAAATAAATGAATATTTTGGCTGAAGGTATGGAGAGCAAGATGGTGTGGCCTTTTCTTATAATCGCGGTCTTCTTTCGTTGTACATTAGTTGTTTGACCTTGTTTTCGTCACTTGGTCATATAGACAGTAAGACCTAGTGGATCGAACCTTGTCCGGAATCCATAAAATATATGATACTTTACAGAATCGGACCGTGGACTTAGTATCTTCCCAGACGTTTCGCCGGCATCGTCAGAGAGCCTTGCCAATCTTATAGTACAACTTATCAACGAAGCAAGTGAATTCTATCCTTTAGCCAATTGTCTCCTAAGCAGTTGTAGTATCTCTCCTTTTAGTCTTCTATGCAGAATTAAGACATTGGAAATCATTTACTTTTGCACGGCTATCAAGTACTATAATAGAGCTTATGGATAATCTTATAATTTGCTTTTATGTGTTAGATGAATTATTTTCGCATAGATATAGATATATAGATATATTATAAATAAAGAAGTTGATAATGGGTTTGACCTTGAATGTAGAAAAGAAATAGTTCACAAGAGCATAACTTCTATGAGAGTTATAGTTTTTATATTTTAAATTTAAGTTTTGCTAACAATTGGTTATCGTAAACATTTCTCAACATTTGTTAGTTTTTATGGTGCTGAAGAGATAATAGAGATTCTGCCCACAATGATTTTAAGGTGCGGCTTTGTTTTAATTCATATTCCGAATGAGTTTTCTCGATTCTACTAATTGACCTTAAATAATAGCTTTGTTTACTCCAAGTTGCGTAAAGTGATAAAGGACTGATAGTTTATTTCTCCCCAAGTGATATAAATAAGCCTTAGGATGCCGATGCATTTTATTTAACCCTTCCTCCTAAAATCTATTCCTATCCAGAGTTTTCTGCAGTTCCAACCTCATCTGGGTCTCATCAGCACCCCAGACAAAATCGAGACTACAAACCCCTTAAATACAGTTCCTATTCAAGATTTATTGGTATCTTATAAATCTAATTATTCTAAATCTAAATATTTTTTATTAGATCGCGATAGCAAATATCAGTTTAATATATCGACGCTCCCACAAGAACTGGCTAGTCTTGAGACTTTTATCTGCCCTCCGACTCACTGGCATCCATGGCAACTCCAGGTAGTGGTTACATGTCCAAGTTGCACAACTCACTATTCGGGTTTAAGTTCCGTTGGGGATTCTTAGACCCATTCACATTCTGAACTTCCGTCTAGTCCGCTCTGGGTAGAAATATCTTTTGAGAGACAAAGTTAAGTGGAATTCATCGGCATTGTTAGCTATATTTATATTATCATCCAACTTTCGGTTATTCATAATTTCTTGCGACCTTTTTGTTTCATATTGTCATGCATTGTATCATCAGAATCAAGTCATTCAGGCTAGGCTCAAATTTTTCGCAAATCATGTATAATTGGGGAATATTTACATTGGGCTGGAGTACATATAACAAATTGGCCATCGTCCTAGCCTTTTATCTTCTTCCTTATTCTATAGCTCCTACCTGATGTAGTTAACGAGATTCTCGGTAGCCAGCTGATCTGCCAACCACCTGATTCCATATCCACTTCGACCATTACTTCAGTGTCCTCGTCATCTGCATGCCCCAGCTCTCTTAATTCGATGCATCCTTCAGTTGCTTTATCAAACCGTTTATCTGGGCTCCCCTCAGACAAATGTATGCTGTCCCAACCTCCGGCTCCCCACTGTGCCTCCGTGTCAACTACCGACCAATTTTTGCATCCGAATTTATCGTCGACACATTCGCTCTCTCATCTAATCAGAAGCCACCTTTCCCCAACACCAGGCCGGTACCTACCTGTTCGCTCGCCAGGTGGAGGGCCGCCTCCACCGTTACTACTATCACCACAAGTTTGGAGTTCTGGCCACCGAGTGTGCATGGATTTGGGCCATGCTTCAAT